GCCAGCAGCGTGAATATGTCCCCCCCCCCCTGCCTGTTGGGGAGCAGCCCCGACGGCGGCGGGCTCCCTGCGCAGGGCTCACACCGCGCCGGCCCGGGCGAGCACCTGGCCCGGGAGCGCGAGAGCCATGAAGGGCGCCGCCCCCCGGGGGCGTGGGGAGTGGGTCCTAGAGTTGGCAGTCGCGGGATCACGCAGAGATCAGGCGCAGGGTCCGCCATGCGCCGGGGGTGCGCCCGTTCCCCGACGAGGGTCGACCAGGGCGGCCGGCGTGACCGTCGGCCCTGTGGCACCTGGTCCCGCCGGGGAGCGCCAAGAAGAAGCCAGCGCGCCAGACGGCCGGCTATCATCGGTCACGACGCTCTTCCGATCTCGAGGGTCGACCAGGGCGGCCGGCGTGACCGTCGGCCCTGTGGCACCTGGTCCCGCCGGGGAGCGCCAAGAAGAAGCCAGCGCGCCAGACGGCCGGCTATCATCGGTTCAGGCGTGTGGGGCCCTCCCGCGTGAAAGGGGCCTTTATTAATGCCGAGGTATTATTGGCAAACGGGGCGGGCATTGCTCCAAGACCCGGCCGGCCCCTTGGGCGTCTGGCCAGCCCCGTGTGTGCCAAGGTGCCCCTTTCCGAAGTCCGGCAACCACAGTTCCGGGCATGCGCCGGTTCGCGACAGTGCCCCTCCCCCGAGATCGGAAGAGCGTCGTGAAACGGGGCGGGCATTGCTCCAAGACCCGGCCGGCCCCTTGGGCGTCTGGCCAGCCCCGTGTGTGCCAAGGTGCCCCTTTCCGAAGTCCGGCAACCACAGTTCCGGGCATGCGCCGGTTCGCGACAGTGCCCCTCCCCCGATGGTCGCGCGTACGGGCCGCCGACCGGCCGGGCGGGCTGCCAGCCATCGAGGCGTATTCCGGTGCGTGCGTGCGTGTGTGCGTGTGAGTGCGTGTATTTGCGCGTGCTGACGGGGCCAGCGCGGCCCGCCCGTCCATGCACCATGGCCGCGGGGCGGCGGCGATGCCGGGGCGCCGGCCTGGCCCAGCCGGGTGCGGCCTACTGCCCTGACGAGAAGACCGCCATCGAGGCGCACACCTGGCGGAAGGTGGCGGCCGGCGGGCGGGCCAGCGGGTCCTGGTTCCAGGCCCGGGCCAGGAGGTCGGCGGCCATCTGGCCGAGGTTGGGAGCCTGGGCGCCCAGCGGGGCCACGGCGGTCGAGACGTCCGGCCGGTCGCCGGCTTGCACGGCCGCGGAGATCTGCTCAAAGTTGCATGCTATCCCATTCGCCGTTGGTGTCGTCGTCGTCGCCGCCCCCGCCGCCGCCAGTGTCATCATCATGGCCAGCATGGCGGGCACGAGGGGCAAGGGGGGTGGGAGGCAACACGCCCGATGGAGGTCAGCAAGTGTGGGGTTGTGCGAAAGAAAGAGAAGAAGCTTGCAGCGCATGCGGCGCCCCGTGTCTCCCGCCCCCCCGCCCCGCCCCCCGGCTCCGGGCAGCTGGCCCCGCGGACGCACCTTCCCAGGGGATGGCCCGGGAGAGGCTCTCCCAAAGCAGGACGGCCGCCGAGAAGATGTCCGCCGCGGAGAGGTGGCTTGGCTCCAGCGGGCGCCGGCGCCGGAAGGCCACCAGGACCTCGGGCGCGGCATAGCGCGCGGTCATGGCATTCAGCTCCGGGGCCGTGGTCACCAGGGCCGAGGACCGGTCGGTGCTCAGGTTCTGCGAGGTGCCCAGGTCGCCGAGGGCCGCCGTCCATGACCCGGCCGGCTGCTGGCTGACAAAGACATTGGCCGGCTTCAGGTCGCAGTGGACCACGCCATTGGCGTGCATGGCCTCCAGCCCGGAGGCCCACTGCTGGGCGATGTCCAGCAGGGCGCCCAGCGAGAGGGCCACCTCCGAGTGCAGCAGCGTGGCCAGGTCCGTCTGGTACCGGTGCATGATGATGGCCGGCGGCTGGTCGCTGTAGCCGTACAGCCGGACGATGGCCGGGTGCTCGCGGAGGAGCCTGCGCCCCATGCAGGGGGGTCTGTCAGAGCCGTGCGTCGGGCTGGCGCGGGCGCGGGGACAAGCCGGGGGCGTACCACATGAGGGCGATTTCATTCTGGAAGAGGGCCACCTGTGTGGGCTTCATGGCGGCGGCTGGCAGGGGGAAGGGGGGGGGGGGCGGGGGTCCGTCAGTGAGACAGGGGCCGGCGGCCGAGCACCGGCTGGGCGCGTGGCCAGGCCGATGGGCGTACCCTTCATCTGCTTGATGGCCACGGTGTCCGGGCAGCCGAGGCGCGTGGAGATGCCGGGGCCGACGGCGCGCGCAGCGAAGACGCTCGCCTGGGCCCCCGCGCCGAGGGGGCCATCGATCGGGGTGAAGTCCGCCGCCAGGTCCACCTGCATGGCGCCGGGGAGGGACATCTCTGTGGTCGCGCCGGCGGGGCGGAAGGGGGGGGGGGGAATGGGTGAGAGGCGGCCGGGCGGGGGGCGAGAGCAACGGGGCACGGAGGGGGAGCACGCGGCGGGGGCAGCGGACCGATGATGGTGTTGAGCACCGTGGAGTCTGCCGGCGAGAGGGAGAGAAGGAGAGTCAGAGAGCGTGGCAGCGGGGGGCGGGGAGTTGTTTGGGGGCACACAGAGGAAAGAAGACAGAGGGGCCGCATGCCAGCCGGCCGACTCGGGGAGGGGGGGGGGACGGCGCACTTTCGTCGGACTCGGCGGACTGGGTCGGGAGGGGGACCGCAGGAGAGGCGGAGGAGGTGGGCGAGCAGAGACGGCAGAGGGGCCCGGGGGTTTCCGACGGACCACATCCTTGGGCCGGCGGGCCCGGCGCAGGCGCAGCAGCAGGAAGATGGCCAGGGCCAGGAGCAGCAGCAGCAGCAGCAGCCCCAGGCCGAGGCCCAGGCCGAGGGCTGGCCATGGAGGGCGACCGGGCAGCACGTTAGTCCACAGCCAAAGCACAGCGGGGCAGGAGGAAGGGGGGCGCCGGCGCCGGCACGCACCGAGGTCCCGCCGGCCGGGGGAGCCGCCGGCGGACCCGGAGCAGTCCGCCTGCTCCGGGCCGGTGCACGTGCCCGCGCACTTGGGGTGGCAGGGGCCGCACACGGGCAGGGGGGCATCCCACGCGGGGAAGGTATTGGCCGGGCAGGTGGCCACGCACTGGCTGCCGGCCAGCAGCAGGTAGCCGGCCATGCACCGGTGGCAGGCGGTCACCCCCGGGCAGGCAAGGGCCCCGGTCGGGGCGATGGTGCAGGGGCCGGCCCCGTCGGGGGCCGGGCAGTGCTCGCAGCCGGCCTGGCACGGGAGGCAGGCCCGGCCGTCCGGGAGCATGGCGAAGCCGGCCCCGGGGCAGGCACTGGCGCAGAGCCCGCTGTCGGCCATCAGCCAGGCCGCCGAGTTGCGGCATGCCGTGCACCGATCGGCCCGGCCGTGGCAGGTGGCGCAGTCCGGCGCGCAGGCCTCGCAGGTGGACGAGCCGGCCGGGAGGTACTCCCCGGCCGGGCAGGCCGCCTGGCAGGCCCCCGACAGGGACAGCGCGAGCCCAGGGCCGCATGCGGTGCAGCTGGCCGTGCAGGGGGCGCCGGTCGCCGGGGCGGCCGCGCAGCTGGCGCAGCCGGGGGGACAGGCGACGCACTGGCTCGAGGGGGCGCATGGGAAGTGGCCCGCCGGGCAGCCGGCCACACAGGCCCCGGCGTGCAATAGCCGGGGCGCCTGGCAGGCGGTGCAGCGGTCTGGCCCGCCGGAGCAGGCGGTGCAGGTCGGCCCGCACGGGCGACACACGCGGCCGGCGTCGGCATACTGCCCGGCCGGGCAGGCGCCCAGGCATTCGCCGGCCGGCACGAGCACCCGGTCCGCCGGGCAGGCCGTGCACTGGTCGCGCCCCGGCCCGGAGCACCGGCCGCAGTACGGGCTGCAGGGAAGGCAGAGGGCCCCGCCGGCGGCGAAGTGCGTGCCGGGGCAGGCGGCCACGCAGCTGGTGTCCAGCATGAGCGGCGTGCCCGGGGCGCATGACAGGCAGTGCTCGGGCGCCGGGCCGAAGCATGTGGCGCAGGTGGCGTGGCAGGTGGCGCACAGCCCGCCCTGGGCCATCGACCCGGCCGGGCACTCGGTCACGCAGTCCGGGCTGGCCAGCAGCCACCCGCGCTCGCACAGGGCGCACGTGTCGTTCGACTCCGGGCAGCTGGCGCAGTGCTCCGTGCACTGGCGGCAGCCGCTCATTGAGGTGTTGTATCCGGCCGGGCAGGCCGGCACGCAGCGCGTGGGCGACTGCCCGGCCGGCAGGGCCAGCAAGTCGGGTGCGCAGTCCGGCAGGCACTCGGTGCTCCGAGTGCCCATGCACTCGGCGCAGGAGACATGGCACGGCAGGCACCGGTCGCCCACGGCCACATGCCTGGCGGCGCAGGCCTGCACGCAGTCGCCGCCCTGCAGGACGCCGGAGGCACACCGCCAGCAGTCCTTGTCCGTGGGGCCGTTGCACGTGGCGCAGGCCGCGTCGCAGGGCAGGCACTCGGCCCCCGCGCGGTACTGGCCCTCCGAGCAGCCGGACACGCAGGTGCCGACACCGGGGCTGACCTCGACAAGTTCCAGCCCGGCGGCACAGCCCGTGCACTGGTCCGGCTGGCCGTCGGCGCAGGCGGCGCAACTAATGTCGCACGGCTGGCACGACTCGCCGTTGCTGAACGACCCGGCTGGGCAGGCGCTGACACATGCGCCGGCCGCCGTGAGCAGGAGGCCCGCCTCGCAGGACAAACATGCGGCGCTCGTGCAGGAGGCGCACCCCGGCTCACAGGCGACGCACGTGCCGGTGCCGCCGGGGCCCGGGGTCGCGCCCCAGCGGAAGCCCGCCGCACACACCCGGCACCGGTCCGGCCCGCCGGCGCACAGCTCACACGACCCATCGCACGCGGCGCACCGGCCGGCGCCGACATACTCGCCCGGGGGGCAGGTGCTGCCGCAGAGGGACGCCTGCTGGGGAACGGGCGACAGGAAGATCATCCCCGGCCGGCAGATGGTGCAGGTGGCCCTGTCGGTGCAGGCGGTGCAGGAGCTGTCACAGGGCTGGCACATGCGGCTGGCATTGAGGAAGTGCCCGGCGGCACAGGCGGTGCAGTCGCTGGCCGAGGAGCAGGAGGTGCATGGCCCGGGGCAGGGGGCGCAGACGCGGTTGTCGGCATCCGGCCACATGCCCGCCGGGCAGGTGGCCACACAGCCGCTGCCCGGCTGCAGGAAGAAGCCCACACTGCACAGGTCGCAGGGGCCGTCCGGCCCGGGGGCCGTGCACCGGTGGCAATTCGCCCGGCAGGCGAGGCACCGGTCCGGGCCCAGGCCGCCGGGGTCGGCCGGGTCCGGCGGGCCGGGCACATGCCCGGCATCGCATGCCAGGCACTCGTAGCGATCGGTCGAGTGGTGGCAATTTGTGCAAAGGGGGTGGCAGCCGCAGGCGCCATCCGGCCCGGGGGCCATGCCGGCCGGGCAGGCCGCCAGGCAGGCTTCCGGCTGGCTTGGCAGGAAGGCGGCACACCGGACACAATCGCGGGGGTTGGGCCCGGTGCACTGGACGCAGCCGGCCACACAGGCCCGGCAGTCCGGCGTGAATGTCCCCTCTGGGCAGGGGGGCATGAGGTCGATGTCCAGCCGGAAGATGGGGCCCCCGCCGGCCAGGCCCGAGACCAGGGCCAGGGCCATCCACAGGCCGCCCGGCGAGCCGCCATGGGCATGGGCCCCGCCGCCGGGGCCCATCGGAGCCGGCAGCTCCACGACCACCAGGGAGTCCGGGCTGCCGAGCGGCCGGGCCAGCGGCCGGAAGACCGCCGGCCGGAGCCGGCAGGCAATCCGCCCGGCCGGACAGTGCAGCGCCGCCACCCCGACCTCCTTCGAGGTCAGGACCACCAGGGCGGTGGCGACCTCGCCGGCCTGGCCGAGGACCGGGGCCGCCAGGACCTGGTACTTGCCGGAGCCCGGGTCCGACACCGAGCCCAGGTCGTACTCCACCCGGGGGAGGTCGGTGGTCCGGCCCTGCAGGCGGCCGCCCTGCGGGATGTGCTGGGCCAGCCACCGGTGGGAGGTCCCGCCGGAGGGCACCAACGCCGAGAGGACCAGCTCGCCCGGGCGGCCGGCCCCCGGCTGCAGGACCGTCGAGTGCCAGGAGCCGGTGACCCCGCCGAGGGCCTCCCGGCGCGGCGTGGCTCGAGGGTCATTGGCCAGGAGCATGTCCAGCGGGTGGATCGACGAGAGGTCGGGCCCCAGGCGCAGGATGGCCGGCCACTCGAGCGGCAGGAGGGCCGGCCGGGTGGTGGTGTCGGCCAGGGCCGCGTGGGCCAGCAGCCCGTTGGCCGGGTCCATGCGGAAAAGGTGCACCTGGGAGTGGTCTTTGTCCATGAGGGCCACCAGGTCCGGGCCGAGGCGCTCCAGGCGCCTGCAGTCGCTGAGAAGGCCCACATTCGCCCTGTCGACCTGAAGCTCGGACGGGGCGGCGGTGGCTTGGGAAAAGGTGACGCGCATCAGTTGGCCGGAGGACGCTTCGCACAGGAGGGCCAGCATCTGGCGGCCGGTGGCCGTCGCGGCCACCGACGACTCGGCGTAGGCGGCCACCGGGGCGCGCGTCGGCAGGAAGTCGGCCCGGCTGGCGGAGACCGACGTCCCGGCCAGCAGGTCCGCCGGGTCCAGGAGCAGCGGCGGCAAATCCACCTCGGCCGAGGGGAAGGCCAGCCAGCGTTCCGGCTCGTCGGCCATGGGGCCCACAAGCTGGACCTCGTTGCTTTGGGGGTCCACCCGCAGGGAGGTCCTGGCGAGGAAGGCCACAGGGATGGGGTCCGGCAGGGCGGGCATGGTGACCAGGACGCTGGTCAAGGTGGCGGCCATGTCCAGGGCCCCGACCCCGCTGGCACCGGGGCACACACCGCTGAGGGCGGGCTGCTGGTCCGGGCAGCTGCTGGCGCATGACGCCCGGCCGGTGGCCGGGTCGACCGACAGCACGAACCCCGAGCGGCAAACCAGACAATCGTCCGTGGGCCCGGTGCCGGCACACACATCGCACTGGCCGGTGCAGGGCGAGCAGCCGCCTGAGGCGGCGTCCGATGGCCAGGCCGGCCGAGGGCCAGGCCGCGGGGCACGCACACACACACACACACACACACACACACACACACACACACACACACACACACACACACACACACACACACACACACGCGAGCAGGGGGCATTGGTTAGCCGGGGGAGGGGGCGGGGGTAAGAGGGAGGCAGCATCAGGGGCACCGGCCCGCGGCGCCCAACGTACTGGACAGGTTGGCCGGGTCGGTGGCGGACCAGGCGCGAGCGCACCCGCCACACAGGAGCCCCGGCACGGTGAAGGGCGCCAACACCCGGCCCGGGACGCAGCTCCAGTTGCTCGAGGCCGAGCTGCCGCACTGGATGGACACATCCGGCTGGGCGGACGCCCCCGGGCAGCGGAAGTCCCCCGGCTCGAGGTACATGTGCCGGCCGGCCGGGACCCAGGTCAGCGGGTGGCCAAGGGCCAGGGACACGCGAACCATGCGCAGGGAGTCGACCTGCTCGCTGCCGGCCGGCAGCCGGAGCGGCTGCCAGGACAGCTGCTGGGCATTCTCCAGGGCAGCCATGCGCCAGAGGGTGTGCCCCCCGGGGGGGGCGTACATCAGCCACCCGAGCGGCGCCCGAGACTCGGTGGCCGGGGCATTGATGAACAGCCCGTCCTGCGGGACTTCCGCCGGCAGGGTGGTGGTCACCGGCAGGGTGCAAGCCCCGGTCAGGGTGTGATAGCACAGCTCCAGCGTCCGGTCGCGGTACAGGATAATCCGGCTCTCGGTTGCGGAGTCCAGGATGTGTGTGGTCAGGACCTGCACCACACTGTCGCGGTGCTGACTGACCAGCCTCCACTGCGGGGGTTCCCACACCGCCGTGTAGTAGGCGTTCGGGGTCCACACGTGGAAGGTGCCCTGCGAGTCGGCGATGGCGGCCAGCGGGTCGCCCTGTCGCATGGGGGGGGCAAAGGCGCCCGCGGTGCCGTATGAGCCAACAACCGGGACAATGTCGGAGGATCCGCCGATGGAGGCGACCTCCAGCATGCCGCTGTCGCTGGCCACCAGGACGTGGGTATTGGTTGCGGTGGTGGCATGGATGGCCAGCAGCCGGACTTGGCGCCCCTGGATGTCCAGTTTGCTTTCCACGGCACTGGCATAGGTGATCAGCAGGGAGTCCCCTACCGGGTCGTGGGTCGCCTCCAGGAGGCCGGTTTCACCAGTGGCCAAGGGGATGGGAAAGATGTCGCCCGGGGTGATGGGGCTCTGGCTGCTGGGCGCCCGGAGGGTGATCTGTCCGGAGTCCATGCTGAAGCGGGTCCCGGTGCGGGACTCGGGCCAGGAGGCCAGATCGACCGCGGTCGACTGGTAGCGCCGAGTCTCTCGGGTGGTCGGGCTCGTGGTAACCAGGCTCGCTGGCTCGTCGCGGACAAACTCCCCGACCTGGAAATGCCACTCGGCGTCATGCTCAAACAGGGGGAAGGGCGCGCGCTGGAGGTGGGCCTCGTCCAGGATGAGGGCCTGCGCACCGGCGCCGGGGCCCGACCGGCCGGCCGGCCGGGGCCCAACAGGGGAGGCGCCCCAGGCCCCCGCCGGCAGCAGGGCCAGCAGCCAGAGCAGGACTATGCCATAGGCGCCGACCTGCGGCATGCTGTGCACGGGGTGCGGGGGGTGGGGATGCGGGAGGTGGGGCGGGGGGGGGGGGGGGGGGGGGGGGGGGGGGGGGGGCTCAAGGGGGGGGGGCGCCGCGGGAGCATTCGGCCCGTGGGAGAATGGAAA